AGGGGGCGGCGCTCTAGAGACAGCTGACAGCGCGCGCCAGCTCCGAGGTTTTTCTTTTACACTACACAATCAGACAACACAGTGAGAGATGAAAACGAGCAGGATTCAACGTCGAATCGACGTCGAAAATGACGATAAGATGTGTGTGGATTTTTGGGGGGATGAAATGACACGTTTATTCGACTGTTTCGCGCCGTCGAATCAAACATCGAATCAACGTTGAGGAAAGTGCATTTCTCACTGGGACATACACAAACACACACAATCACACATACACACACACACACACACACACACACAAGGCACGCAACCACACCCTTCATTAACCGGTGGGAAGAGGAGGTCGATCGGAACACACCTCCCTTGATTGGGCGCCGGGTGGGTAACCTGCCATTACCCGGGTGTTGTTGTGTGTGGGTACGGGTCACGGGTGAGTGGGGGAGGGAGAGGGGAGGGGAGGGGGAGGTGAGGAGGAGGAGGAGGGCCCCGCGGGAGCAGCAGGGAGCCGATCACCTGATGGGTATAGTTCATCATGGGGAGCACACAAACGTCACGTCGGAGGGGTTGACTTCAGAGGGGGGAGGGTGCGGTGAGTGCATGGCGTCGGAGAGCGTGGTGGTGGTGGTGAGGCGTGGCGTCGTGGTTGCGGCGGCGGTGCGGGCGCCGACGCCGAGGCGCCGTTGGTGGTGGTGACGACGGTGCTGGAGGCTGAAGCCACTGAAGCTGAAGGCTTCAAGAAGCTCGTTCGAGCGCAAGTTTTGGAGTTGGAGTACTCTCCTCCAGGAGGAGGAAGCCGTGTGTTGTGTAGGGAAGATCCTTCGGCTGCCGAGCCAAGCCGAGCCGGGCACCCGCCAACGGGGAGGGAGGGGGGGGGAGGGGGGGACGCGCCTGCCGCGCCTCAGTCGGGTGGCGCGCTCTGCCGGCTGCCGGTCCGACGGCGCTCTCAGGCGGCCAGTCAGGGCAGGCAGGCAGCGGCTGGCGGTTTGAAGGCGTAGGCTGAAGCTGTGCTGCTGCTGGCTGGCTGCTCGGCGGCTGCTGCCCGCTCCGCTTGACTGTTGTGTTGCTGTTAGGTTTTTCTTCGTTAGTACGCTGCTCGGCAGCCGGCACGCCGCTCGCGAGTCCCGGACGCCCGTCCTCGCGCTGCCGACGCCGTCTCGCGCGCGCGCCTGTTGCTCAGCCCAGCAGGACCAGCAGGACCTGCTCGACGAGCGGGAGGACCGCGACGGCGGTGCGGCCACCAGTTGCCGAAGGACTCGCGACTCAGAGCATCATCGCCGCCCCCTCCGCGCCCGCGCCGTGTTGTGCCGAACGTCAGTGATTTTGTACTTAATTGATTCCCCCTCTAAGTGAGAGGAGGCCGACACTATGGATACCATGTCTTCGATTTGGATCTTCGGCGAGTGCTGGTGATCCCCCGTGCAGCTGCAGCCGCCGCCGCCGAAACAGCGACCGCCCCCGAGAATGAAGGTGAGTCCTGCGGCTCGTCTCAGAGCTCAGAGAAGAGAAGCGCACCCACTCCAGCTCCAGAGGAGGACTTCCAGCAGTACGTGAGCAAGAACGGGGGCAGCCCGAGGCCGTGGGCGCCCCAGTCGAGGTCAACTGTGTCCTGGAGGGTTGCAATATGGGTCATGCGCGGCGGCTCACGGTGGTGGTGGTCGCCCTTACCCTTACCCGTGCTCTGCAGCCCTCGTCGTCGTC